TAACATAGAAAATGTTTTGCTAAATTTGCTTAACATTATTAAAGGTTGTCAATTAATTATATAGTTGGAATGGTATTTAAGGGGTAGCTTTCTTGTAACAGGTAGAACGAATCGCAGTAATATAGTTATTATAAATTTTCCATTGAAAATGCAAAGACTTATGATTTCATGTCTCCGGAAATGGAGAAACTATGGGTGGTATACGTTGCATTGTCTACCGAATTATAAATTTAGGGAATGGGATCATTTAAAAAAAAAAGTGATTTAAAATATGGTTTGAGGTTTGTTTCGCAACGGGGAGTACTGAATTACAATTGTGAATAGTTGTTAACCTTTTTTATATTTACGTAACTAACTTTATTGGTACATTTTACCCATAACTTATTGTTGTGTGTAGTTCACATAGCAAAGGGTTGGCTACATTTGCCTAACATTATTATAAGTCATCAATTAATTGTATAGTTGAAATGGTATTTAAGGGGTAGAAGGAGACGCAGGAATATAGATATTATTAACTTGCTCTAGATAATGCAAAAACATGTGATGTGTTAGAAACTATGGGTGGGATTAAGTTGGCATTGTCTACTTTACTATAAATTAGGGGAATTTTCAATAAAAGTGCTTTGAGGTTTGTTTTGCAACAGGAAGAAATGAATCACAGTCGTTCAGTTTACCTGAATAACTCCTCCACCGGTGCTGCCCTCCTTGAGGGCCAGAAAGTGATCCGGCAGTCCGATGGCCTTGCCCAGCCAGTCGAGCACGATGGTCTCCAGCTCGGTGCAGGCGGGACTGGCCGCCCAGGAGAAGCCGATGCACCCGATGCCGTCGCCCAGCATGTCGCCCAGGATCGAGGGGAACGAGTTGCCCGCCGGGAAGTAGGCGTGGAAGCGCGGATGCTGCCAGTGCGTCACGCCGGGCATGATCTTGTCCTCCACGTCGCTCATGATCTGGTCCCAGTCCTCGGGCTCCTGTGGCGCCTCGGCTGTTCAAGTGGGAGTGGTTGTGAGGCAAGGTCTTTTTTAATTTTGAGGAGAGTACGCCTTACTTGGCAGCAGATGCCGTAGGTAGCCCGGCTCCACGCTGGGCGTGACTCGCCGCTCGTTCAGCGTCTCCAGATAATTGCAGATGTACTCTACCATTTCCATGCCACGTTTTCGAAATTCGGTGCTATCCATCTTTGGTCGGTTCTCAAAATCACTTTCCTGCTTGCTTTTGAATTTTTTCGTTTACCCCCACGCTGTGATTGTGTATTAAAAGTAGAAAATTTTTGAATGAATCAGCTAAGTAGGCGTAAACATGTTCGTATTTTTAATTGAATGAAACGAATTCGATTAGTTTTGTATTTGAAAAGTTTTCAAAAACATAATTTCTTGAAGGAGTAGGAAAGTTTTTTATTTTATTTAATATTCCAAACTTTAAGCTTTGATAATTCTATAAAACTATAATTAAAATATTTTCTGGGAAATCTTAATTTTCCTACCTAATACTTATTGAATGAAATACGTCTTTAGGCCTATATTCTTAAGGCACATTCAAAATGTTTGCTTATAGAGTTTTAAAGTATTTTTATTTATTGTCTGCTTTTGGCCTTAAACTAACAGTACACATTCTAAATGTTGGAACATCTTAAGTTTTTTTTTTGGACATTCGGGCGTAGTAAAATAAGAAAAGGCGCAAAATAATATTGATTAAATTTTGTCCAAAACTAAAATTTCGTAGTCTTTCTTTACTAATATTTCAATGCGATAAATTTTTGAAAGGTATTAGATTTAATCAATTTTACCCATTAATTTTTATATGTTTTTTTGAATAACTTGGAATATACTATTAAATTTATTTAAAAAAATAACTTAACGTAAAAAGTCGGCACAAAAAGTCGGTTGTTGTACTTTAAACATTTGTGAAATCAAATTTTTTACTAACAGTTTAATAACTTCCACTAAAAATAATACGTTTTTAAACATTTTTTTATTCGGCCATTTCAGCATTTTACCTTTACAGATATTCCTTTTGCTCACTTTTTCTGAATAAAAAAAAGGTTGTCGGATGTTTAAAAAGGATTTCACAAATAATCAACCTTTTACTTGTACTTTATTTTTCAAGCTTTATCTGATTCAAATGTATTTATTTGGTTAAAAACATTTAAAAAGTTTAATTGGCACAGTTCTTTAAAAATATTAGATTTAAAGAGGTGAGCTAAATTTCTACTTAATTTTTTTAAAAATCGAAATGATAATGTCTTAGAATATAAGGTATAATGTTTTAAAAACAAAAAGAATGTTCAAAACTCAAATCAAAAAATTAATTTGTTTCGAAAAAATAAGCGAACATTTAAAACTTCTTTTGTATTGAACTTTTATGTAGTTCTTGGTGTTGTTTGAATTGTTTAACAATCCATAAGTTATCGTTGGCAAAAAGAGGTATCAGTTCCGTATTTTATTATTTTGTTATTTATGCAAACTAATAAATCCCCGTCATGTTTGGAGTTTTATTCTTAGTTTTTCCTAAAACCGCCGATTAAATTTTATAATAAACTTGGTGAATTTATATTGGGGCTATTTTAAATTTATTTTGTCGAGGTTGTGCGTTGTTCGAAAATTGTGTTGTTCCTCAATTTGGCTCGATTTAAACGCAGGTAGTTAGCATAAACAGAATTTTTGTTTGTAATTAAACTGCGGTTCCTTAGGCATGTTTTACGGCCATGTAAAGTATACAATTCACGGGTAGTTCACTAATTGTCGATGGGTTAATACCGGATCCATGGCACTTACTTGAGGCAAAGCAAACTCCGGCGGGTGACTTTTATTCCGAGTCCCAGACGACGAACCGTTGGCCACGACTTGCGAAACCAAACTGATCCTTGCTCTGCGGTGTGGCCAAGAGCTAAGCTCGGTTGTGGGTCTGATGGGTCTGCTGGGCCTGCTCCTTCGGCTGCCTTGGCATGTCTAATGAATGCATACTTCAGTGGGCTGGAGCCGGGATGGGGATGGGGATGGTGGTGGTTTATGCTTGGTGGTTGGTGCGATTGAAATGGCAAATAAATGGAATTTTTGCGACGCTTCATTCATGGCAAAAAGGCAGAGGAGGAGTGGTTGCCACCAAAACCCCCTTCGTTGTGCGTGAAGATATGCAAAAAAGTAGAGGGGAGAGTGAAAAATTAAGCATCCAGCATTGGCCATGTGAGGTTGCACCGCTGCGTATGCTTGATATTGCGTATACGCACTGTGAATTGAGTTTTCAACTGTTAAATACTTAGCAAACCTAATTTTCCCATTAAAATAAAACTCAATTTGGCCATGGATGAGTTACTGCAAAGTACGTGTTGTCATAAACACACACAGCAAATTACATTGACAGGACCTCCCACTCGTCCTTGTCCGGGGTGCGAACCGTTTTATTAATAACTTCCGCACCAAATTGAATTATTGTTCCGAGCGTACTTGATAGGAATGGTGGCGATGCCAAATGATTATGACGATGGGGAAGTGACGACAACGACGACGAAGACGACGGGCAGCCCAGGCAGGAGCAGAAATAGAAGGAATTTCAACGCATTCCTCTCGGGAACATTCCATCCCGTTTTCCTTTTTCAACTCGGGCTCCTTTCGTTCCGGCTGCACTGGGCCATAGAATTGTCTGGGACACGTGGCTCCATGTACTTGCCATCATCATCGTCATCGGCCCACACAATCATCTGATTCCCCATTCGTTTTTTGTGTTGTTGGATGAAAGTTCATTAATAAACTTGCATTGCTGCTGTCGAATTCAGCTGCAGCTACCCACCCCGGGGCCCTAAAATGTTGTTCGGCCTCCGCTTCAACAAGTGGCATCATGCTTCTGCGGTTATCATCCCCCGGTGACCTCCTTTCCCTTGACCCCCACACTCCGTTCTGCCCTTCTCTAGTGGCCGACACCAGCAGGGTTCTATTTAATGGGAAAACGCTGGGAAAACGCTCCTGCATCCGCGCTCATTTAATTGCTGTAGAAATGGTTTTTTATTGACTTTTACTTGAACTCCTCTTCAAAATGCATTAAGTCACAGCAAGGACTGTCATGGTTTGGGCAAAGGGTTTGTCTTACTTCTTAGGGAACTACCAATTTTAGTTGAACGGATATGGCTTACTGATTACTGGTTTCAGTTATAAACGTAACTTCAGTTTCTAACACAAATAACGCTTTTGAAAAATGAATTACCTTTATTATTTTGATTATATTATTATTTCTATTTGAATATTATTTTAAGTTAATGTAATAAAGAACGCTTTAAAAAAAGGAATGTAGGTATAACTTATTCACATTTGATTAAATTTCTAACCCGGAATTGTATATAAGGGTAAAAATTTAACAAATAAATAAATATACAAATCTGGATTAATAGCAAACATTATAAAAACTACCTTTACTAGCTTAATTATATTCCCCTGTTCATTTGAATAATATTTTAAGTTAATATAATAAAGAACGCTTTTAAAAAAGAAATGTACATATCTTAATAACATTTGATTAAATTTCTTGTCCGGAATTTTATATACTAAAAGTATTAATTTAACGATCTCAATTAAAAGCAACCTTTATGAAAACGAAATCGATTCTGGTTTTCTTTAAAACTGATATAATATCCGATTTCTCATTATTTCACCTATGAACTCCTTGATTACTTACATAATTATGTATGGAATAATAAACCACGTTCGGAAAAGTGTAGGTAACATCGCTGGCCTGAAGACCTGGCTGCTTACACCATTTGCAGCTAGCTTGTCTTCCTCCATTTTGCCCCGGCTCTCTCGGCTCATAAACCAAGCAATTATTCAATTTGCACGGACTGCGCCCTGGCAATAGCTGCTCCGGACAGTTTACGACGAGTGGTTGGTTGTTAAGTTGGTTCTTGAGATTCCGGACCTCCGGGGTACTTTTTCTCCCATTATAGGTTCAAGGTTATTGCTAAAGGGCTTTGCCGTGATTATATTTCTGATAGAGTAAAACAATCTATTTATTTTCAGATTTCGTTGGACGGCCTCAAAATGATGCACTACCGCAAGGCCGAGAACGTGGAAAAGGAGCTGAGTAAAAGCGATTTGCCCTTCGAGGACTGCATGCCAAAGACGCAAAAGGATTTCCTTTGGATGCATGTGAGTACTGTAAGCTATTATTCGGAACCCTTTCTTAAAACTTTTTTCTATTGAAAGGTAAAAGGCGGTACTAAAGTGAGCAATGTGATTGAGTTTGCACAGGCCTCACTTAACAAAGGAGAACACAGATGCGTGGTGTGGAGTGGATCCGGTGGTGGAGTGATTAAGACCATATCCTGTGCAGAGGTGCTTAAGCGGAGCCATCCTCTCTACCAAGTGAACCGCATGGCCTACACCAGGTGAGAATCGCGTTAACAACAAAGCTGTTATTATTATTATAACCCATTTAATGTAGCGTGGAGGAGCACTGGAAGCCACAGATGGAAGGTCTTGAGGAGATCATCGTTAACCGCCAGATACCCGCCCTGCACATCCTCATGAGCCTGGATGAGCTGCCGGACAGTATAGAGGGGTTAGCTAAAGGGAGATTCAAGAGGCGTTATCATCGTAATCTAATATTGCTAAAATAGTTTACAGAAGCCAAACACATCCACCGATTTCTGGGAAGGCGGACGGGCTAATCCGCAACCCCAGCACCGCCAACAGCAGCAACAGCAACAACAACACCAAGGTGCCGGCGGTCGGCCAAACAAACGCCACAGATCCGGACGCAATAAACCATCCCAACAACCCGGAAAACCTTCCGCAGAAGAGAACCAACCAACCAGTCAGAGTCAAGGTTGAGATAAGCCATATAACTAGCCCACTAGAATTGTGAAGATTCCTTTATTTGCCCTTTGTAAGGATATACACAAAAGTTTATCACAAAAGCATTATGGCATTAAAGCAATTGAGGGCAATGAAAGATTAGCTCTCCGAAGATAAGCGTGGGCTTTGTATAATACTTTTTATAGATACAGTTTTCAAATTTACAGTAAAGGCTCTTCGGGTACAGACATTTTACTAACATTTTCATTATTAAATATCTTTTTTTGTGGCAGAAAATATTTAGATAAGTGGCATCCCTATTTGTGTTTAGCCTCTGCGACATACATAATTATAATTTAAGATTTTTAGTTGAAAATCTGATATCTTACAAAAAGGCTTAGGATTCAGTTTCGCCTAGAAACTTTAAAACACTGTATAACTAAAATAATTTTGGAGGTACACTTAAACGCTCATAATATTTGTTATATGGACAATGAAAGAACCGTAAATAGACGCAGTAAGATTTGCCTTGGTATAAAATATTTATTTCTTGAAACAGATTATACACTGGTCGGCATATGTATTTTGACAAAATAAAAGTTAAGTATACTCATAACTTAAATTTACTTCTTGTAAACTATAGGCATCAATGGAAAGGTAATTTCAATGCCGTTTGAATGATACAATACATTTCTTTACCCATTCAGTACTTATTGAAAAGGACAAATTTGTGTAAATCAACTTTTAAATTTTTTTTTCAAACTTTTTTCCTCGACTTGAAAACTTAAACTTTTTGATGCAAAAAGTTTCTTCAAACAAAAACAATAGTAACTGCAAAAAGAATTTTTCAAAAATCATTTTCCTTATATTTTTTATGATTTTTTGAAGGTGACAATGTCGGAAAAAATTTGTATGAAAAAGAGAAAAATATGGCTCAAATGCCTGTTTTTAAGCATTTTCAAAAATTCATAAAAAATATAAGAAAAATGATTTTTGAAAAATTCTTTTTGCAGTTACTATTGTTTTTGTTTGAAGAAACTTTTTGCATCAAAAAATTTAAGTTTTCAAGACGAGGAAAAAAGTTTGAAAAAAAAATTTAAAAGTTGATTTACACAAATTTGTCCTTTTCAATAAGTACTGAATGGGTAAAGAAATGTATTGTATCATTCAAACGGCATTGAAATTACCTTTCCATTGATGCCTATAGTTTACAAGAAGTAAATTCAAGTTATGAGTATACTTAACTTTTATTTTGTCAAAATACATATGCCGACCACTGTAAATTATTAATTCAATATGTTCAGAAATTTTCAGTACTGACAGTCATACATTTTAAACTTGAAATATATATTTGTACTTGTTCAAACTGAATCACGATGGTCAACTCGTATTGCTTACCTTTAATAAGTATTTTTTAATCAGAACGGTTTTATATTGCTATGTTATTAATGAAATAGTATCAGAAATAAACCTGCGGAGAAGACCGCAGAGGCAACATTTACTGTAATTCTATTTTTATTTATTGTGCACACAAAGTACTTAGGGAAAGCTGCACAAATCTAATCTGGCTGATTTCAATGGCGTTATCATCGCACGAATGTGCAGCCCCCTTGTTAGTGTGAAAAATGTCGTGCCTGGGACGAGTTCTGCGATCGGGTGCACTGCGTCAGCTTCGCTCCTTGAGCGGCAAGCCCCAAGGGGATGTCCTTCCCCCGAGCTGCGATGTCCTGATAATCGGTGGTGGTGGGATGGGCGCCTCATCCGCTTTCTGGCTGAAATCCCGGACGCTGCAGCTTGGAAAAAAGCTCAATGTGCTGGTGGTGGAGCGGGATGCTGGTGTGAGTACAATGTCCTTAGTCCTGAATAAAAAGTTATCCATTAAAAAAAATTGGTGCCACAAGCCACAGGATCGATTTTGGTTCAAGCAGCATTGAGAAATTTTTAAAATTCGGCGTTTAATCCATTTTAAAGAGTTCTTAAAAATTTCATTGTTAAATTTTAAAGTCGGAAAATCCCATGTTCGTATTGGCGGCAATATTACTAATGATTTTTTAATGAGATTAAAATACTAATGTGTTTACACGGTGCTGATCATTCTGATTAAGTATTAATTTACATATGTTTGTGCGTTGTATATTATTGCTCCTATATTTATATATTGCTTTTCATAAACGGTAGACAATTTAAGTGCGTTTCAAATAAAACCTACTATATAAAAAAAAATACATTACACCAAATTCAATTTTAAAATTAATGTATTGTTTAAAAAACCTTTTCATTTATGTTTTTTGCAGTACACCAGCGCCTCTACGGTGCTTTCTGTGGGTGGGGTTCGCCAGCAATTCTCCTTAGCAGAGAACATTGAGATGTCGCTCTTCGGATACAGCTTCGTGGTGAACGGAGAGAAGCACTTGGGCGACGTGGATCTCTGTTACCAGCCGAACGGCTACCTTATCTTGGCCTCCTCAAAGGGAGCCCATATCCTGGCACAGAACTCCAAGTTGCAGAACGAGTTGGGAGCCCGAAACGAGCTCCTTGGTCCGAAGGCTCTGCAACGAAGGTTCCCGTGGCTGTCTACAGAGGGCGTGGAGCTGGGATGCCACGGGATCGACAAGGAGGGATGGTTTGATCCGTGGGCTCTGCTAATGGGCTACAAGAAGAAAGCTCGTGCTCTGGGCGCCAATTTCGCTAATGGCTCGGTGGTGGGTTTCGAGTGGAATGAATCGGGAGCCCTTTCAGGAGCTGTGGTGGATGCCGGTGACGGAGTACACCGCACGGTGAAGTTTGACACCTGCGTCCTGGCAGCAGGAGCCTATTCGGGCCAAGTGGCTCGTCTGGCAGGCATCGGTGATCCAAATGCGAAGGAGAGTTCCCTGACGGTAGCTCTGCCAGTGGAGCCCCGCAAGCGGTACGTCTATGTGTTCAGCACTCAGGGCCGGAACTGTCCGGGCGTGGCCACGCCTCTGACCGTCGACCCGGATGGCACCTACTTCCGGCGAGATGGTCTATGTGGGAACTTCCTTTGCGGCCGCAGTCCCAGCGAAGATGAGGAGCCGGAGTGCGAAACGCTAGACGTGGACCATGGCTACTTTGAATCGAATGTCTGGCCCACACTGGCGAGCCGAGTGCCGGCCTTCGAGTCGGTGAAGATCCAGAGCAGCTGGGCGGGATACTACGACCACAACACATTCGACGCGAACGGCATTATCGGCAGACATCCTCACTACAGCAATCTCTTCATAGCAGCCGGTTTCAGCGGGCACGGCATCCAACAGACTCCGGCCGTGGGCCGAGCCATTTCCGAACTGATCCTGGACGGCAAGTTCAGCACTCTGGATCTTTCTCGCCTCGGCTTCGAACGGCTGGTGAACAAAGAGCCCATGTTCGAGGTGAATATCGTTTGATGAAAGTCTCACAGGCGGTAAGAACGCATCCTTGTTGTGTGTATGTACTTCTTTTATTGCAATTTCTGTTGTGTATATAGTAATTTTGTATAGTAAAGTTCACGTTTAGTCACGTACAGCTTTGTTGGTGTTTTGGCTGCCAGTTGTCAAGGGGAATTTGGTTTTCGAGGTTCTGTTGTGGGTTTAGCCACAAGAAGGTCGTGTGTCTACATATAATTTATTTAAAATAAGGAGTTAAACATAATCGTAATATAACTTGCGGAATAATTGCTGACTTAGGATCAGATGGGGCGAGACGTGTGAAGAGGGCCTGCGTATATCTGGGTTTGCCCTTGTTACTTAGTTATCGTTATGTAGCTCTATGTGTGTCGGACAACTAAACTACATACAAGATCTGCATTCGAGTCGGGTTCGCTCCGTCCGTGTGTCTCTGTCAGGGTGAGCCAACCCAAGCTGCAAGTTATTGGTAAATATAAATAGATGTATGTTGTATGAGTGTTCCACGCGAGTCTAGCTGATCTGCGCCTAGGCCTCGCTCTCGCCGGGGGCCGCGTTCTCAGCCGCGTTGATGGGCACGATAAGATTCTCCTTGGACATCAGATTATATTTTGTGACGAAATGCGTAAATCGGTGGCACAGATACGTTTCGGCCTCGAACTCGTCGAAGATGCGACGATGATGAAAGTAGGCGTGCGAAAATATGCGGTACACACGCCGGCACACGGAACCGAGCTTGGTCACTGACGACTCCTTGATGGACACCCTGTGGGAGACACTTTGCTCATTATGTGGCTAGTTCCAGCTAGTCTATGAGCCCTCATACCTGCTCGGGAAGTACTTGTTGCTGTTCAGCAGACACGCGGCTCCGTCCAGAGTGTGGCGCGTGTAGTCGATGGCCGGACACTCCTTGGGCGTCTTGTGGGCGGCGCACAGGAATATCCACTGGTCGGTGGCCGTCATCTGGGTGCACGTCGACGGTGAGCACTCCTTCTGCAGTCGCACGGCCAGGCCATTGAGCTCCATGCAGAACTGGCGCAGGTGCTCGTACTTCCACACACCCTCGTCCTGCGCCTCGGGCATGGTCAGGATGAGCTCCACATTGCTCGGGTCGCGCTTGATCAGCTGCTGGATGTACTGCTGCACCGCCAGCGTGCTGTCCATCTCCTCCAGGGGCTCGTCGGGCCAGCGACAGAAGTCCTGGAAGGGGGAAACGGTATTGAATCGGGGTCGAGTGGGTTGGGCGCCTGTGCTCACCTTGGATTTTGTGCCTGGCCGGTTCCTACGCAATATGGTCGAGCCGTCAGCCATCTTCATGTTTCACCTGCTCGGATTAGGAGACGCGATGATCCACAACGCCTGTGCCTACGCCTTGGTGAGAAAATCGCTGGCAGAGCCTGATTTCGAGTGCAGCCCCTGTCCCGCTGGAATCTCCGGATTTGGGATCCTTGCACTGTACTTAGCCGAATGGACTCTACTTGCGCTGGCGCATCATACTACGATTAAATAGCGTTTATCCAAAACACTTTGCTTTGTGCGAGAAAATTTCTGACAAATTCTACATACATACATATGCCTATCGATTGGGCAGCGGCAGTGAGCTATCGCTATCGATAGGCTTGCGGTATGTTTTCGGTATTTCCGCCAGCCCTGGCACCTGGCTATCTGGCAACGGTACGGAGCCAGTCATCATAAATACGGAACAGATTGGAAAACTTAGAAGAATTGCGTATTATCTGTGGTATTACGAGATCGAACTTTCGAAAAACCAACTTGCCGTAACCAAATAAGCTGCAAACATGTCCTACGCGTACTTGTTCAAATACATCATTATCGGCGATACAGGTGAGTGGAAACTGCGACTCCCCCTCAAAATGGCCAGCGAAAAGTTGGCCATTGTCAGGGAAACAATCTGTAATTGGAAAACAAAACAAAGGCGATTGCTGGCGCAGAGGTCGCTCCTAAAATGGGGGTGTCCAGTGCAAAGGGCCCCTATTGGAACATTAGATCCAATGGAACTGCGTCTGCATAAAAGTATCCCAATCGCAGGAGTTGGGTGGCCAAAGGAAAAATCAATAAAACCATAACAACGCATACAGGCGTTTACTGAGAGTACTGGGAGTTGGCGGGGAACGGGGTGCAACCCACACATTAAACCCTGCTGCTGAGTCACCCAACC